TCCACCTCCGCGCGGCCGCGACTCGTGATGCGGCAGGACTATCGCGCTGGAGGCCAGAGCCGAGCTGCCGGCCGCGCAGCGAGTACAGCCTCGACGTGCCCTTCGAGCGCGAGACGCAGTACCAGAAGGACTTCCGCGCCTGGCCGCTGCCGCGCCGCGTGGACCACCCGTGGATCCCCAAGCCGTGCCGATCCCCGCGGCCTCGCAGGCGGCAGCGCCTGTCCTCGGGACGCCCAAGCGCCGGCCTCCGAGCCAGGAGCGCTGGCCGGTGCAGGTGGCCGCGGAGGCCCCTGGCGGAGCGGGTGTCCTCGGGGCGGGAGAGGCGATGCGCTCGGACGAGCGCTACACGCGCAAGAAGGCCGGGCCGGCCTGGATGCTGCGTCGCGCCGAGGGGCTGGGGCCGGAGCAGACGCCGCTGCCTGCCGCCCAGGCCCAGGCCCAGGTCGCGGGCCCCGAGGGTGGCAAGGGGCGTGCGGCAGCTGACGCCCTCAACAGGCAGATCCGCGAGGAGGTGGCGAGTGCCGTGGGCAGCTCCTACAGGTGAGATGCCGGACTCGGCTCCTGCGACGGGGCTGGTCACCCTGACCCTCTACCCAGGACTCACTCTCCACCTCGCAGGCCTCACATTCAGCCTCCCCTCCCAACCCAGACCACACTCTCCCCGACCCTTCCCAGGCACCCTCCCGTGGCTGATTCCTTTCGGCACTTTCTTATGTGTCTTCCCCAACCTGCCCAGGTCTTTCGCTTGACCATTTCAGCCACCTTTTCCCCATCCCGCCCCACCTCGGATCCCTCCCTGCCCAACAAAGACCCTTTGCAATTGTTTCACAGGCTGTGCTTCCATTCCGCCCCACCCAGCTTACCCACTGCACTAGTCTAGATGCGGCCCCTTGCTGGCTCAGTCGCCACCCACCAGCCTTCATGCCTTCCCCCAGGGCCCCATTCTTCCAGAAGAAGAATTCTTTCCCAGTGACCAATAGCCCTCTTCCCTAGCCCAGTTCGCTTGGCCTTTGAGTCTTCCTTCCCCTCTCTCAGTCCCTGGGAGATACCCAAGCACCACACCCTTTTCTGGATTCCTTCAAAAATCCTTATAGCTCACCCTCCTCCTACCACTGGGCTTTGAAGTCAGACTCCTTAGGTTTCTTACTGGCTGTGGCACATTGGGCAAGTTTCTTAACCCGTCTGGGCCTCAGGCTCTTATTGGATGTGATTGAGAGGTTGAGAAGTACTCGCTCATTTATTAATTTAATATCCAACTTATTATTGAGCACCTACTCTATGCCAGGCACTATGCTAGACATTGTGGGGCTTAAATGAGATGATTCAGGGGGGAAATTGTGCCTGGCACGTAGTAGATGATTAGTACATTTTGGTCCTCTTCCAGCCTTCTGCAGGATGCTTCATTATTCTGATTTTCACTTTGTAGGTATGTCCTACCCAGCCTTCTCTCCTTTCTCCTGTCTCTTTATGTTCTCCAGATGTGTTTCCCATTCTCTTACCACCAAGAACGCCCCCCCCCTTTTTTTTTAACACAGTTGAATGCCCTGTAAATGAATGCTTCCAAGCAAGGGCATAACCTCTCTCTCTTCCCATTCTTCTAGAATTCTCCCTTTGCTGTAGTCTCAGCCCTTCCAGCCTGCTTTGTCATCCTTCATGCATCCAATATGTATTTTTGAATGCTTAGCTTTTAGTCCTGCCTTTATTTTTCAACCCGAATCAACCAGCTAGCAGATCACAGTTGACTCTGAACATGTAACATCGGGCATGGAGGTCTCTGGGGAAGCAGATGTGCATGATGGATAATTGAATGAAAGGTATCAAAAATGTGGCTTATGGGGTCCTTCATCAATGCCACAGCCAGTTGCCTCCTGCTGGCCAGAGGGTGTGGCCAGGAGGACTGCAGAAGTAGTGTCTTTTGCCAAGACTCTATGTGCAGCCTCATGTCAGACAGGTCTTTCTCCAGTGAACATAACAAACACTTCTTTACATGCCGAGGAAAGACTAGCATAGTTAACATCCTCTCTGTTAAGACAAAATCAACCCCTCTCCAGGTTTTAACTCTGGAAAGCATTTTCCACTGAGAAGGGGCAGCCACTCTGTTGGCCACTACTCCATCTTCCTGCATTCCACCTCCCACTTGACATTATTCTCTGGGTTTATTGTTATCTTGACCACACTGGTCCCCAAGGAGCATACCGCTTCCCTCTAAAGCTCTGGGTCATGCGAGGACACGTATCCTTTTCCTTGATTCATAGTCACCAGGAGGTAACATTTTCACAATATCTTTATGCTGCTACCAAGAGAGCATCAAAAAGAAAAGAAAGGGGCATAAAAAACAAAGCCAAGATGTAGCTTGTGATTCTGCCATGGCTTTCTTATTTATAGGGCCCTACTTCACTCCCTGAGAGCCCCAAAGTTGGCCCAAGATCTCAGATTCCTGGTCTGGCCTCTTTATCTTCCTACTCCCACTCAATGACCCTGTGGCAGGTGGAACCTTAACACCCACCAGGCAGGAACTACCTCTCCTCACTTCCATAGAGTCAATGCCAATCAAGAGAGATTCCAGATTCTCAAATCTCTTTGGGTGATCCCACTCAGTTCATATTTCCAAGTGGGTGGGGCTTTCTTTGTCCATGGATGATTGGCCAGACAGTCAGGGAATGACCCACCCTTCAGATACAACTCACTCTAAATATTTTGGCTTGTACCTATGTGCTGTATAGCCTCTTCCCCCCAAAAAACACCTTAACTGTACAGTAAGCATGTCATGCTTTACAATTAGAATTATACACATACTGCAAGTGATTGGATTGAATAGCAGAAGGCTATACTCTTATAGCTAGTGAGAATGCTTATTTTTTTTAAAAATTTATCTTATTGTTTAAAGTATTACAGATAGTAGTACATATGTCTCCTTTTTTTCCCCCCATTGACCTTCCCCCGGCCTCCCCTACCCCCCAGCACATGCCCTCACCACCACCACCCCCCCGCCCCCGCCAGTGTCTTGTGTCCATTGGTTATGAGAGAATGCTTATTCTTGATGGCTATCAAAAAAAAAATCTGAGCACCTCAAAAATGTTTTTTTCTAATTTGGATCTTCTGTAAAATTTAATTATGCATATGATTCTGGGCAGCATTTCCATTTTGCTGGATAATCAGAATGGTTTTGAATCAGAATGAGTGTTGATGAGAGACATCAGTTTCTCTAAGGAACAATTTAACTGCATGACAAATTTGATGTGAAATTTAATATTATTTTTTGCTCCAGAAGAAAAATAAACCAGTAATAGGGAAATGCACTTTGGGCGAAAGTAGATATGAAAAATCAGATAATCAATTAATGAAATATACTATAAAGAAAAAATGCCTGGAAATGGTAGGCTTATCTGGAACATTGATTTTCTTTCCCAGTTGTCTCACATTCTTTGCTTTGGTATAATTCTGAATATCTGCTGAATTTAAACATGCCCTCTGTCTGCTGTAAAGGAGGCTTACCTTGCCTTATAAGCCAAGTTGGCCTCCATTTCAATGATAATTTGATTTACAAACCCTTTTCTTCTGCCACTCTACATAAATCATGGTGGTTTACACCATGGTGACTGGCTTATCTCATGGGCTTTACAAAGGACATCTGTCACATGACATCAATGGGAGCAGTTTGCTTAAATAAAGAACACATAATCCATCAGCTTAATATATTGGTATATAATACAAAATATACATTCAGCATCTAGAGTCATATACATATTAATTAGTTTTACCCTGCAATATACATTCAGTAGATAATATCAAATGTCCTTTGATGCTGTGGTTTTGAGAAACCTTCCCTATTTAACAGTTCATCTAATTCATAACCTACCCACACTAGCCTGAGATTTTTTTGCATTCAAATGGTATCTAAGGTACCTTTAGAATTATTCACAATCATGAAGTTGATTGATTTTTAATACATTCATTTTACATAGATGATATAAAATTGAGAAGCATTCTTTTGTTATCATTTTTAATGTTAAAGATGTAAAATTGAGAAGCATGTCTTTTACATTTTTAATGTTAAGGATGGATTTCACTGGTGAGCCATTTGTGATTTTAGACCTAGCATTCTAAATTAGAAAATAGATGAGTCAGAGGAGGGGATTAAAATTCCCCTCTTAGCAACCAATTGCCCTAGCCTTCAGTTAATAGGGATAGAGGGGGAAGCAGGTGCTCCCCATAGAAATGCTAATGAAAACTTTTCCTGGAAGAAATCAGCTGAGGCACCAGGAGGTAGATTTAATAAACCAGAGGCAAAATACTTGAAAAATGAGAGTGGTCACAAGGAAATCAGAAAGAAAGGAAGCCTTTAATATCTGCCCTACAGTCTTCCATTAAGGTTAGAGAAAGGCCCGCCTGACTAGGCTTATGCTGTGCAGAATTCCCTATGCCTATAGCGCAACTGCCCGTTTTCCGAATTTCTTCCTGGGTATACTTCAAGGCCACTCTTCAATGATGCCTTCCAGATTCTGTCATTCAGAACCAAATTTTCTTTTATTCCCTTTTTAACACTTGGAGTGGGGGAAACGAGTTAAGTCGGCTCGCGTGAATTGCGCGTACTCCGCGGGAGCCGTCTTTAACTCGGTTCATATAGATTTGCGGTGGAGTGCGGGAAACGTGTAAACTCGGGCCGATTGTAACTGCGTATTACCAAATATTTGTTTGTAATCCACCCTTTTGGTGGATGGAACAAAACCAAAAGACAGAGCCATCTTATATTTTGGCGGGAAATTCACCCCACACCGGAGTGTTAATATTCTGTACACTTCTCATTGTCTGCTCAATTGTAAAATACTTTTGCCTGTTTCTGCCTCCCCCACCAGATCATGAACAATTGAAGGGAAGAAGTATATTTTGTTCATCTCTATATCTCTCATAGCCTAACATTGTGCTAGGTGCCATATAGGTTTGTTGAATCCAGTGGCATTTGGTGAAAATTCTGTTTACCTACATATTGATTCATTTCATTCATTTTCACTTAGTTGAATTTATTTCAGAAAATTACCACCAAGCCCCTGCTATGTATCAGACAGGATGCGGGGGATACCAAATGAATGTCATAACCCTTCTGGAAGGAAATTGTGTTTCCTTAATCAAAATAAAGTCCAGTTCCTACTAGGTTAGCACTAGGAGTAATGTTCAGATGAGGAAGGGCAGCAAACCTTACAGACCTGATTCTAGATGCATTGTCATCCAGGGTACTGGCCCTCCACCTGGGCTGCACGTTGGAATCACCGCAGCACTTTTAAAATGTTGAATCTGATTCAGTTTAAAATTCTGATTCAGTTGTTATGGGGTGTGGCTCGGGCACCTGAATTTCAGAAAAAACTGTCCCAGGTGATTCTCCTGGGCAATTCAGGTTATGACCTTCTTCCCCACGGCAAAGGACCTGAAACATTAGTACACAAAAGAATCATTTGGAGAGCTTTCTGAAATGCAGACTCCAGGGCTTCCTCCCCAGACCTGTCGATTCAGCAGTTTGAAATGGAGCCCGAGAATCTACAGTT